AAAGACCCGGCCTTGAGAGGATGGAGCGGGGAGCTAGCATGCATTCAAACTTCAGGCATCGTGTATGTGTCCAGAGCTCCCTGAATCTGCACACAAAGTGATCCTTTCACACACCCGTGCAAAATCCAAAAGACACTGGTGCACACCCAAAACTGCTCCAAATGAGAAGCAATGTAGGGAGACACAGCTCTGGGTTGACAGAGGAAAAGGATCAGTGTAGAGAATGCAGGTGGGGCCTGCTATTAACCTTCCTCTTTACTGGAAGGGACCCCAGGGCACTGTATGTGCACCCCTGGCCTCTCTTTGCATCTCTCACCCATACTTTGAGGACTGATTCTTGGGAGTTCCACTTACCTTCCTTCCCCTTCCTCCTCAGTGTGCTGCTTCCTTGCTAGTTGACTTCCTAGTGTGTCCCTTTAGCTGCCCAATACTCTCAGTACTAAGCCTGCCTCTAACTCTTCTGCATTTGCCTCCCAATGAGCAGAGAAAGCAAGGAGCTGGCGGACTTTGCCCGGCTACATCCCTCCAGCTGTACCGCCAACGGTTTGAACTCCAACCTCATGGTGACGGGGGGGCCAACCCTGACTGGCTCGGGGCGCTGGTCTGCCGACCCGGCTTCGCACTTGGCAGCTCACCCATGGCTACCCAGGACTGGCAGCCCTTCCATGTGGCTAGCTGGCCATCCCTACGGTGAGTCTTTCCGGGAGGGGGAGGGTTGCGTGAAGCCCTTGACTTGCCCATAAGAATAAAAGAGGAACAAGATTGCTGTGGCGGAGCATGGTGATGAGTGGCAGTTCCCTGATTTCAAGAGGGGTGTTTCTTGGAAAGCCCCCCTCTGAAAATAACCTGCAGTATTGAATGCACCTGTAAGTGCAGTGCTGCTGAGTCCCTGTGGGCAGCTGGACTTTGCAGTGCCCTTTTTCTCTCCCTGTCCCCTCATTTGTCTATGTCCGGTGCATGAGTGTCTGAGGGAGCTCTCGTTGACTGGCTGACTGACCCGAGTGTTGATGGTGATTCTCCTTCTAGGACTCGGCCACCCATCCTTGCATCAAGGCATGGGGTGCTCTCCCTTCAGCCTACCAGTTTGCCAGAGATCCTCAGTCGGGGCAGCTAGTTGTGATCTCCAGTGAGCACTTGCCACACTTCGGTAAGCACACAAAGATGGTTAAGGGCACCTGTCTTGAAGGACACTAACAAAGTTCAGTGGAGACGAACATGGGACCGAGTCTGCCCATGGTAACAGACCTTGAGCGCACACATATAATGCCTAGTTGGAAACACTGGGGCTTAGAGCCTGCGCTACGGGCCCAGAGAGGAGACACCTGTCGGAAGGCACTCCTCTTCTGTTTTCCAGGATAAAATTCTAGGGCAGAGTCTGGGTGTGTTGAGGCGAGGGGGAGGGTGGTGAAGCTGCGTGGTGGTGGTCGTGCATTGATGGATAGTTCTCGCTCTTCATTCTTTGGACCACTGTGTACAAGTTTTGTAGTCCATTTCCTTTCCCAGTCTGACCATCTCCTATCGCTCCGTTCGGGTCCCTTCTGTGGCCCTGCAAGATGGGCCCTGCAGGCTGCTGCAGATCCTTACAGAATAATAGAAATATAGGGCTGGACAGACCTCGGGAGGTCAACTAGTCCATCCCTCCATGCTGAAGCAGGGCCAAATATACATTTCCCCCATCCCTGACAGATGTTTGTCCAGCTTGTTCTTAAAAACCTCCAGTGATGGGGAGATTCCTCAAGGTTCCTTGATGATAGCTTGGGGAAAACACCTGTCTCGGAAGCTGCTGTAGAGCTGAGGAAAGATTTGTCATCAGTATTGCTTCTAAGGAGTTTTAGTTTGGCAGGGAGCTGGCTGGGTAAGGCCTGACAACAGCTTTGAAAACAGCACTGTTGACCTGTCCCATGCTACATGGGAAACACTAGCCGTGTTCTGTAGCTACAGCCAGTCTGGGATTCAGCTGTCTGCTTGTTAAATTATTTCAGCCGTTGCAAATGTGCTATATCAGTTCTTCAGCCATGGCACTGGCATCCTTATCTCTGGTAGAGCCCCGTGAAGCTTGGGGCTTGGCTGTCTGAGACAGTATAGTCGAGGTCGGCTGGGGGCATTCAAGCTAGATGTAAATGCAAGCGGGATGAAGCCTTGGAGCCTTCAAGACTAGGAGGCTCAACTAGGGCACTTCCTTTGTCCTCCGAGTCTGAAACAGAGTAGGTTTGTTAGGCTCTCCGGCATGGCCACGCCCTCTTGTTGGGTGTTGCCTAGATATGGTGAGGTGCAGGAGAGTGTGTGTGTGTGGTGAGGGGGGAGAGACTTTATTAAAGAGAAGAGTTTCTTACATTTCTGTGTGAACTAACAAATGCACTCCAAGGAGGGAGCACTACATAAATCTACTACGAATATTAAATCCACCTCTGTAGCTGCTCCATGCACTTGGGTTTTGTGTGTTGTAACCACATGGTTGTGATGGCCTTTGTGTCTTCCCTAGCTGAACTGATGGATCGGGCACCCCCACTCTGGCCTGCAATGTACCCTCCCACGAGAAGCACCCTCCAGCACGCTCACCAGCTCCAGCTGCTATCTCATCAGCAGCTGCTTCGGCAGCATGAGCTGTACATCCTGCAGCAGCAAGCTGCCCATGCCATGGAACTCCAGAGGAACGCACAGCTGGTGGTATGTTCTAAGCGCTGGGGCAAGCGGGGGGACCCCCTTGTTTTAAAGTGGGCCAAGTTCCAAGTCTGTACCTGGGTGGGGTGACCAGGTGCCCCAATTTTATAGTGACAGTTCGGATATTTGGGGCTTTGTCTTATATAGATGCCTATTACCTTCTACCCCGATCCCGATTTTCCAAACTTGTCATCTGGTCACCCTATTCCTGGGACAGCATATGTCCGTGACCTGTCTGATTTGTGTGTGTGTCCTCTGCATTCAGAGGGAGAAATTTCCTTAGTAATTCCCAGGCCCTAAGGAAACCTCAAGTTCTGGGATCATTTGGCATGTTTTAAAGAGCCGAGTTTAGATTTTTAGCATCCCTGAAGATGGAGGTATTTGGATGCAGGGTTTTGGGTTGGGGCCATGTAAGCCAGCAGGTCAGCTCACCTACCAGTACAGCTTCCAGCAGCAACAGAAGTTCAGTTGCCATCTTACAAAATGAGTTGGTGTTGACTCAGCTCTAAACAAATCTTTTCCTTCCTGAAATCTGAGACCCAATATTACCAATCCCAAGTGCTCAACAACCACGAGGCAGGCCCCAGAAATCATAAGATTGGCTTCTAAATCATGAGACTTTTATAAAAATATGTTTGGGGCCTTTTTGTAATTTGCCTCCTTGATCTTAAACTTTTAAAGGCACATGTTTTCCATGGTCACAAAGTTCATGATCAAAATCAGAAAAGCTGCCTGCAAACACAGAGGCTCTACTACTTGGGCTCTCCTGAAACCTCTTCTAGTTTAAAGCATTTACCTCTGCTTGCTGCACATACCTTCTGCCAGACTTTCCACCTGCCTTTTGCAAAGAACCATTCCTAGGTCCTGGTTCTGCATCTCCATCTTTGACTGCACGGCCCCCTTGCTAGGAAGTCCTGCTTCTGGTCTCGTTGAGTCTTTTAGGACTTTTTTTGCTTTCGGGTTCTATCCTGATGCCCCAGGAAGCATCATGCCCTGATGGCCTTCTCTGTTCTTTCGCAACAGGAGAGGTTAAAAGTAACTGAGCAGCGAGCAGACATGGAAGAGAAGGTTACTAAACGAAGCCTGGACAATGCAAAATCAGGCCTTTCCTCCTCTGCGTCAGGGCTGCTGCACCGAAAGCCACCTGTTCTGTCTCCAAGCACCTCCACGTCCTACAGCAAGGCTGTGAGTCCACCTCCCCTGTCTCCCAGGGCCTCACCCGTGTCTGTGCTCAAAGCTGAGGTTATTCAAAAGATGGAGGAGCCACCTACGCAGCCGGCCTACTCTTATCCGGCCACCCCCAGCTCCCACCCTTCCAGCCCACCCCCTGCCTCTCCACCCCCTGCCCCTGCCATCCCTCCAAAAGAAGAGGTGCCTGAGAACGTAGAGAAGAAGGACTTGGATTTGGAAAAAGAAGCTGCCAGTCCCTTCCAAGCGCTGTTCCCAGGTAAGAGAGCCCTGCTTTGGAAGAGTGCCCTTTTCTTTGTGCCTGGCTCCCTTTCGTTCCTCCTCTCCTTACCTCTTCCCTGCCTCAAACCCTTCCCCAAGAGAAGACCAGGTAGGGCCTTTTTAAAGGAAGGTGAACATGCAAGGGACCAATCCGCACTTGGCAAGTGTGGCGTTAGCAAGGAGGGTGCGAGACAGCACCGTGGGGAATGCTGGAGCCTTGGTCCTGTATCGTGCGTTCTCTTCTCACCTTGGGAGGGGTTTGTTCCTCAACTGAAGTCTATTGAGGGAACAGAGTGGAGGAGCCCAGCACTGATAGAATGGAAGATGAAGTCTCCTTTCAACCCAGGGGTGGGTTGGGTGACTCTTTTGGTCTTCCATTGTAGGTGGAGGGTGATGTTCTGGGCAGCTGGGAAGTCCAGTAAGCAGCTGCCACCGAGAAGGGAAGTGGGTTGGTGAGGGGGAAGTTGAGTAAGTAGGAGCCTTCCCGAGGGATGAGCTCCATGGGTGCCAGCCACTGAGAGTCATATTCCTTTGGATCTCTTGCAGAGATTCCACCAGGATATCCATTCCCGTCCCTTCCAGCCTCCTTTGGAAGACATTATCCCTACCTCCTTCAGCCCACCGCGGCCTCTGATGCAGATGGCCTGGCTCCTGATGTCCCGCTGCCTGCAGAAGGGCCCGAGCACATGGAGCTTTCTCCAGAAGTCAAGCCCATCCGCCTGTCTCCATCCAAAATGCTAGAGCCTATTCCGGCTGCGGCAGAAGAGGAGTCCTTGGAAGACCGGGTGAAAACCGAGGTGGAGCTGGACGAAAGCCAGGGAGCCATCTGCGAGGAGGACATGGAGGCTCTGAACACGGGTGCCTCCAGTGCCGCCCCAGGGCAGACTGTGAACAGTTGCGATCTCCTGTTGCACCAAGATGAAGCTCTGAGAGCTTTGGAGCAGGAGCAAGGGGCCCTCCAGAACTGTCAAGACACGTATCCGGTAGCAGCCTGCCCGGCAGAAACAGAGGCTGTGGCGGAAGCTGGGAGTGGGGTGGAAACTTGTTCTGTACATATGGACTATGATGATTCCCTAATGCACCCTGATAGCGAGCAGCCTGGGTTGGACCTGGCACCCCAGAGGGAGGAGCCTTCTCTAGCCATGGAACTGCAGAGCAGCGACTTGCCCCAGGAAGGAGGGTTTCCGAGCCTGCCATCAGAGGAGGGCGGGCAGGAGGCGGAGCTCTCATATGCAGAGGAGGCGATGTCTTGTCAAATCCCAGCTCTGGACATCAAGCTGGAAGACCCACTGGCCGGCATGAATGCCTTAGTGGCTGCCACGGAGCTGCCTCAGGCTTGTTCCTTGTTGACAACCGGCAGTAGCCTAACCCAAGCCCAGGTGGACCTGGAGGTGTCGCCTGTCCTGTCCCTGGAGCACTCCTTCCTGCAGGGGATTACGCTGCTGAGTGAAATAGCAGAGCTGGAACTGGAGAAGAGGAAGCAGGAATTTCAAAGTGAGTTGGGACAGTGTGCTGTCTGCCCTACCCATGCAGAGCTGGGGGACCTGCAAGGGCCCATAATACACAGACTCCCCTCTGGGTAGGGCAATGATGTCTCTGTACTCTCAGCCTTGCTGTGGTGTCATGGCCAGCAACTCTTCAGGGCTCCTGTCATGAGTTTCCTCTATGGCGGCTGCTCTAGACTGAGTTGGGTGAGAGGCTGAGGTTTGGGTGGTTTCTGGGCTGTTCTTCTGTGTCTGCACAGCTACAGTATGGAGACTACATGGTACATAGGTAGATTTGACTTCTGTGGTCCCGACTTCCCTAGTTCAGCAGCATCATGGTCCAGCATCCCTGTGGGCACATCTGGGAAAAAGCCAGGCTCTGTGCTCAGCAATTCCTCCCCCACCCTCCCAGAGTGTGAGACAGGGTGGCTGCAGAGCCCTGCAACCAGTGGCCTCGGTGCACCCCACAGGGCTGCGCTCTAGCCAACACTGCCTCTTCCCCCCCGCCAATACCAGCTCGGTCAATGATGGCCCATCTGCTGCCACCGGAGCAGAGCCTGGCAGCTGGCAGGAACCAGCATCAGCCTCCCTTGGTCTGGCAGATTTCCCCAGTCTGGAGCTGGTCCAGTGTCAGGGTGCTGCACAGTCTGTGTAAGTGAGAGATGCACCTTCCACTTTTATGCTTTCAGTGCTGCCAGGTTAACACCCATTTGGCAGCAGAAAGGCTCCCACAGGTCAACACGACTCTCGTTGCTAATGATTCCTGTGGATCCTGAGAAGGTCTTGTCTCCCAGTAGCTTCCAAGTGGAAGGAAAACTGAATCTCCCAGCAGCCGGAAGAGTTCTAGACCCCTGAGCACAGGTCGTAACAGGCTGGATCTCAGGTGTAGGGCAATGAGGCATCTGTGAAGGCAGAGAAGAGGTAGCTGGTCTTTTTGATGCCTCTGGAAGATGTGCTCTTCCCTTGCTGAATGCTGAATCCTACATTTTCTCTTAAGCAGGTCCGGAGAGCTGCCTGGTCCGACCAACGCTAGAGAGCTTGCTGGCTGCCAGCACTCATGTGCTAATGGAGGTTCTATCAGCCCCCTTTATGGACAGTCTAAAAACCATCCGGCTGCCTCGAGAGTTGAATCCCAACAAAAAGTACAGCTGGATGCAAAAAAAAGATGAACCTGTAAGTAGCTGAGCTAGATGGGATGTTGCGAACCTACCTCTATTTCCTCCTCCCGCCACTTGTCATTCCTATGACCTATTTCCCTATTGGCATTCTCCTTCTCAGCATGGCAAACCTAGACCTTCCTCCCAGTTGAGCAAAAGTCAGTGGGGTGTGGCTTCATTCCATTTCTTGTTTGTGCATCGGCCTCATTGATTTCTGCAGGGAGGGACGCAGCTTTGGAGACCCTGTGTATTTGTTGTTTGGAGCCAGCAGGAGAAGCTCTTCCGCTAGCCATTTGGGGACAAAGAAAGATGGCAGCAGGCTTCCCCTTCTTGGAGATGCAGCTGCAGGTTCTTTAGCACCCGGAGGTTTAGGGATAGAGGCAGAACGCCCAGGGACATTTCTCCAGCTGGGTGTTTGAAGGCGGGTTGTGGTTTGAACCATATTTAAATCTGACCTGGAAGAGAAAGAGATCTTTGGTTTATCCAGCCCTAAAGCCTTCTCACTTAAGAATCAAAGACAATAGAGGCCGTCACTGGTGGCTCAATGTCTCCCAGCAGAACAGGAGCCTTCCCAGGCCAGATTGAAACCTCCAGCAGCAAGTGAGAAATTGCTGAATGCGTATGAACCTCCACGCTCCTGCCTGGTCTGCAAATCCCATGCCAGCTGGGGGGCTTTCACCGTAAGGTCCCTTTCCTGAAGTCACTTGCTTGTCTGCCCTGAGACATTTAATACTGTTATTATGTTAAACCCTAAAAATCCCTGTATGTTTTTAATAATCCACGGGTATGGAATGGCAGTAGAGGTATGTCCTAGATGCACCCCCATTCCAAGCCCTACATTGCATCCAGCACCTTTCCAGCCAACAAAGAGGAGGATGTGACCTAGTTTAGATCCGGTCTGTTCTGACCCAGACTTAGTTGGAAGACACTCGCTGCTCAGCTGTGGTGACCCTTTGCTCCCCGGGGCTGGTCAAGCTGCCTCTGCAGGGCTTTGTAGCTCTAACTCACTTGGAGAGTAGTAGTTTCCCCGTGGTCCCCTCATGATAGTACAGAGTGCTGCTATGAGGCAACCTGGCCAGCCGGCCAGCCTGTTAATGCTCCCTCCCTTAAAAGTTAACATACAGTCTCCATTTGAAATATGACTCTCTGGCCAGTAGTAACACGAGGTAGGTCCCTTCCCTTCTGCAGCTAATGTGCCGCTGGCTGTCTAAACGGTTGCACCCGTGGGACATCTTGGCCCTTGCGGAGCTGTGAGATTAGAGAACAATAACATGTTCTAGTCTTGTGGCTGGCATCTGCATCCCCTCTTCAGCCTCACCTCCTCTGTGAAATCTCTCTTACCTCTCCACCCCAGATGTATTCCATCAAGTCTGCCATAGAGAACATGGATGCAATGGAGCTGGACTACAGGATGAGACTGGCAGAGCTGCAGCGGCGCTACAAGGAGAAGCAGAGGGAGCTGGTAAAGCTACAGCGACGCAGAGTTTTTTTTTTTTTTTTTTTTTTGGCCGAGCAACTTCTCTGCCTCCAGGTCCAGCAGACCATTCGCTTCCCCCGTCTTCCCTCCAGTGGTGCGTCTGCCAAAGCTTTGCAAAGCGCTGCTAGGCTAGGAGAAGGGCAACCTGACGGCTTGATGAATGCAAGTGGGCGTGCTTGGCGTCTCGGTCGTTGGCGATCAGTGGGCGACCCGGTTAGGGAACCTTTGGCTTCCAGGGCTCGGCTTAGCGGTTTGGTGCCAGACCACGGTTCTGGGTTGGCTTGCGCTGGTTCAATTGATTGCATGTGATTTTGCTGCTGCCTTGGCTAACGGTCAAGCGTGTGGTTTTTTTAAAGGGAAAAGCATGACGAGAAAAGTAGAAGCTTGGCGAGAAGAGGCCCTGGAAGGCCCAGGAAGAGGAAGCATGGATCAAGCGCTCTGTCGCCCCCTAAGGAGAGAGGGAAGAGTGACAGCAAGAGCGGAAAGTAAGGCTGGAATACGGGGAGGAGGGGTTGTTGCACGGCGTCCTGCCGGGGACGGCCTCTCGTACGCAGTGGGGGTCCCTGCGTGGTGGTATGCTGGCAGGGCGCGCCCATGGCAGCAGGCCGAGGGCACGGCATTGTGGTTAGAAATGTGTGTGTAGCCCCCCGGTGGCGGTGCACGCATGTGGCTGCAGCAGCAGGGCTGGCACGTTGGTCGTGTGTGTCTGGTGGAGCCGTGCGCGCAGGCGGCGGAGAGGTTCTGTGGAAGGCGGAGCCAGGGGCAGGCGGACTGCGAGGCGCACACAGAGCTGAACGGGAGCTGCCCGAGGCAGGGGCTGTGTCTTCGGCCGTGTTTTGTACAGCGATTAGTGCACGGTGGCCATCCGAGCCCTGCCGCCACGCAGTGAGCGTCAGTCAGTAGTGAGGCTAATGAGTTTGATGGAAATGATTTCACAAATCTGGATGACTTCTGTTCTGCGGCATTCGTTTCCTAGGGCTTTTCTCCTGTGCTTCTGCCATCTTTCCTGTCCCCTCTGTCCCTTAATCAGTTGGAAATGGTTTGGTACCAGCACCTCCCTCGCCTGGGGTGCCCACTCATTGCAAGCCCAGCAGGTTTATTTGGGCACCCTGTGCAAAGCCCCGCTGTATTTCTCTGCTCTACTTGCTCTCACTGGCTGAGTCTCTGATCCTGGTAGCTTGGCACAGGCTAGCTCCCCAAGCTCTGCGTTGTCTTCACAGGACTTTTTTCAAAGGGAGGAAGGTGCCTGACGTCCATTGACTTTGACCTGCTCCAGCCTGCCTTTGAAAAGTTGCCTCCTTCATGTTTTGCTTCTGTGCTTTGGTGATTGGAAAGGCTTGGGGGGTCGCCGCCAGGGGTCTTGTGTGTGCATTTCCATTGGGGCCAGTTGTCATGGGAACTTCCGGCCTGGCACTGGGAGCGAAGCCATGTACACAGCTGGCTTCAGCTCACCTGACTCAAGTAACACGGTGTTGGTTTGGTTTTGGGTTGGGAGCTACCAGGGGAAGTGAGGCGGAGAAAAGGCTGCTGTTTGCTACTTCTGGGAAGTGAGGGTGCTCTCTGACATCAGTGATTTCATAGACACGGTAGCCGCTGGATCACAGGCTGAGTATACTATGAAAGTGGCGGGGGGGTTTGTCTCTACGTAATTATATGGTAATTGGCAAGGATGGGAATGGGGAACTACAGGCCGTGTCCAGCCTTGTGAAGGCGTGGCCGTGGCGCTTTCACCATCGGCTCACCTCTCCATCTCCATTCGTCAGAAACCGGATGGGGAGCACTGCGACCTGTCCTCCGTACTCCTTGCTGAAATGCCCATCTCCCATGTGCTCAGGAGCAGCCATTTCTGTCGGCACGCAGCTAGTCGGACACCTTTCAAGTCTCCTTAGATCCACAGAATCTTAAACGTTAGAGGTGGGAACAGACCTAACTGGGTGTCACATCCTTTCTTCCCCCTCCTGGTCCTAACCAGAGCAGATGATGCTCTACAGCTTTTTTTTTTCCAGTGCACTTTCCAGGCCACTGAGTGGGTCTCACCACTTTACAGGCATACGGATCTCTGACTTGGGCTTATAGTCTAGCGAAGGCAAAGGGAGCTCACTGGCATGAATCCAGACAATGGGCTGGATTCTCGGCTAGTGTAGGTTGATGCAATTCCATTGAAGTCACTGGATTTTCCCCAGCCGAGGATATAACCCCAGGTGGCTCATAAGATCCTTTAACTGGGGAGCTGACCACACTTCAGTATTTGCTAGTGATTCGCAAGTGGGGCGGGGGAGGGAAAGGGCGATCTCGGTGACCGATTCTTTGCCTGGCTTGCAGACTGAGCAAGTCCTTGCTGCTGTCCGAAGACTCTGAGACTGGCGAGGGGATGAAGAAGAGACACAAAGGGCCCCTCCCTGAGGAGGACGAGGATGCAGAGAGCAGTGGTGGGAAAATGAAAGGGAGAAACCAGAGCTGGGACGAGCATGATGGAGCATCGAGCTTTTCCAGTGAGGTCAGTGCTCTTGTGGTGCGTGGGGGGCTGGCGTTCCAAAGAAAGAGGTAGCATGGTCTAGTGGATGGGGCATTGGCTTGGGATTCTGGAGGTGTGTGTGGGGGGGAGAGGAGCTGTTTCTCTCTCTGCCACTGCTTTGTTGTGTGACGTTGGGGATATCACCTCACCTCCCCGAGCTGCTATTTCCCCTCCCACCCCTTCCCTGTGTAGACTGGATGCCCTTCATGGGACAGACTCTCTGGGTGTATGTGCACCTAGCAAAAGGCATCCCCGGTCTCAGATGAGGATTGTAGATGCTCCTGTATCAATAATAAGATCATTGTCAGGAGGGTAGAGACAGAAACTACCTAGCAAATCTCAAAGCAGCCGCCTTTGTGTTCCTGTTGGAGCAGTGTGTTCAAGGCTGAATGCAAAACCCAATACACCTAGTCAATATCATATCCCCATGCCTGCACGGGTACTGTAATTAGTACAACTGTTAATTGACTACATTAAAAAGTAATCTTTTGAAACCACAAGGCAATGCTGACACGGTTAAAATATATCAGCGTTGCCGTTTCTCACAAATGTATCCTGAGTCTCATGACATTTGGTATTTTTCTGAAAGCCTCCACTCCTGGAGTCAAGCGATTAGCTGAGAGACTCAGCTGTCACTTTGCAAAATAAGGAAGTGCCTGGCCTTTCTGGCAGTGGAATAAAGCTTGGATACAGGGCCTGACTGTACCCTGAAGGTTCAAAATTAAGCGGGCAAATAAAAAGAACCCCAAATGCATTGATTTTTTTTTTAAACAACCTCATGATTTTGGCATGACTGGTACCAAGTATCACAGGGCAAAGCATATTTTCTGTTCCGTCCTGTGTGTGGCACATGCCCACAGAAATGCCCTTGGAACGTCAAGCCTGAGGAGACTGTTCAAAGGGAAGAGGACACAGCAGAGGCTACAGCCGGCTATGGGTTAAGTCAACGATGGGCAACGTAGACTAGTGAGTGGGCCAAGTGAGAGTCCTTCCTTCATTTCAGGAGGCTGCAAGGCTGTTGTAACCAAGATGGTCTCCCGGGATAAGGTAGTTTTGTACCTAGAATTTGCAGGATGCGCTGACTGAACCCTAGCAGCTCATAGATTGGATGCACAAGTCGCAGCAGGCTGCTTTCACAGTCAGTGTTGTGTGCAATCTCCCTTCCCGCTTAAAGTGCGTGTCACTTGAGTAATAGGAGTAGGAAAAAAAACCTACGTGGACGGAAACCAGTGGAATCCTGATCAGTGATAAACAGAATATCTTGTGGGCCACACACAGAATCCTGATGGGTTTCATGCCGCTCTTGGGCTGCAGATGCTCACCACGGGGTTAAGTCATCCTTTACTAGGCCTTTTTGAGGGGGGAGGGGTGAGGAGGAGGGAAGTGCCCAGTGAACCGAAATCTGGTTCATCGTGAGAGTTAAGGCTCAGGGGTATTCATATGTGGCCATTCTCTCTCCCTTCCCTGCAGCTGAAGATCAAGAAGAAGAAGGTGGTGTCAGATCAGGAGCAGCTGGCAAGCAAGCTCGACAAGGCCCTGTCCCTTACCAAACAGGACAAGCTCAAATCCCCCTTCAAGTTTGCAGACTGTTCTGGAGGGAAACAGAAAACCAGTGGAGGTGGCAGCAGATACCTGTCCCCCCACGAGCACCTGCCGGGCAAGGACGAGAAGAGAAATCTAGCCAAGAGCCTGAGCCTGGTGCTAAAAAGTGCCAAGGAAGGTAAAAACAAAATGGCCACCAAAGTGCAGAAGATGGAGGTGGGGTTAAAAGTCAAAAGTCAGCTGAAGGTTTCCCATTCACCAGCAATTTCGGAAGTTAGCAGCTACTCCTATAGTAAGTAACCTCCCGGTTTCTCTCTCTCAATTGTGAATGGTTGTTGGGTTTTGTGGGAGCTTTTAGCCTTTAAGTGACAGCATCTTGGGCCAGTGCGAGATGGATTTAATTTTGCTTTCCAGTGGAAAAACTCACCTCCTCCTTGGTTGACTGTAGACTCTTGGGGCTTGTTTGGAGTGAATTGGCAGGGAGGGGGGAGCGGGAGCGGGGATTGTTCTTTCCAAAGGCAGCGAACATTCAAATGCATGTTGTGCATCTTGTGCTGGATATTCTGCCTATGTTGAATTCTGCTGACTTTACAAAGCAGGGAAGGCAGGTTTTTCAAATACATTGTTTCCATCCAGGGCTGTGGACTGTCTTAAATCCTAAACTTTCCTCTCCCTTCCAGCTTCACTTGCTACTGATCCCTGGTTTTTTGCTAATACATGCTCTCCATTCATCTGCAAGACCAGCCTTCAGGGTGTTTGCCTCAAAGGTTGAGTAGTAGTTGTCTTACTACTTTGTTCTTAGGGGGTTATGTAGGGTTGACTGTAGGTATATGCTAAAGAAACAGCTGTCCAAAGGTTTATAACAGGGTGCAGGGATAGTCCTGAGAATGGCATGGTCATTAAAAAGCCTGTCACTGCCCTTCCTTTCAGTCCCTTTGGTGCCTGCTCTCCTCCTAAGCACATTTCCCTGTTCCTGCCTAGCTGTCTGCTCCAAGCGTCACCAGCTCTCATTTGTACCCCAAAATATTTTATGTTGTCTTCAACTTCCCCTTTTTGAAATAGAATTGCAGCTGATGCACAAGATTCTGACTTTGGGAATAAAGTTTTCCTGTGACCTCAGGACATCCTTTTGGAGGAGAAAAGGCCACAGACTGAAAATGGAGTTGAGTTGGTGGGGAAAAAGGAACAATGAGCAATCACAATGCTTGGAGGAGGAGGAGGAGGGCAGCACGAGTTCATCGCTGCAGGAATAAATGCACCTACAGCTGGTCCCTTGTGCCTGTGTGAAGAACATTCGGCACTCATGCCCAGACGATACTGCCCAAGGGGGACAGGGTCTTGTCAGCTGTGAAAGTGGTACTAACCTAGCCACCCGGGTTCATAAATTCTCCCCCCAAATCAGCCCCCCGCAAGGATTTCATTCTCCTGTTGCTGGTCTTAATAGTCTGGCTGTTGTCCACTTTTATGTGGAACAAAAAGCAGTCGTCATGGGACAAAAGAAAAGGAGAGGTGGGGGAGAGAATCTGGGGAAACAGCAAGATCTTTTGCATGCTGCTTGGTGCCATTGGAAGGGGGGAGAAGACTTTATCAAAAAATAAGCCAAGCTAGGCCAGGAAACTGTCTCTAATGGCTTAGACAGAAATTTGGGTGTGATGGCGGGGGCAGAGGCCTCCTAGGTTTGGGATATTCTTAGGGAGCTGGTCAGAATTATGTGCTTAAAGTCAATCGAACAAAAAATGAAAACCTTCTTTTACTGTTATGCAGTTACCAAAGTCCTGTGTGAAAACCCTTGTAGGGGTGTAGCTACAGATCCCACGACTGGAGAAGGAGATTCTAACACTGCTCTGATCAAATTAACGTGTTCAATCCAATTGGCTATTGAAGCGGCAAAGTGGAGGGGGAGCTTCTGAAAGGGAACGGAGCAGCTTGTTACTGAACCAGAAATGTCCCAGCAGGGAGTTGGATGGGGTTCTCTGAGAAGGATAAGCAGTGATGGTGCCAGACCAGGGGTGGGCAGTACTGGTCATTGGCCATGGTTTGCCATTCCCTATCAATGGGAGCTGCGGGAAGCAGTGCAGGCTGGGCAATTGCTTTCCACAGCTCCCACTGGCCTGGAAGAGCAAATCGCAGCCAACGGGCGCTGCAAGTGGCCATGCCTGCGAACGCGCAGGTAAACAGTGTATGACAGCCTGCCAGGTGTTAATCCTGGTGAGCTATGTCTGGCCCACGGTAGGAATATGAAAGTGTAACAGCTTCATGGTTACACACAGGCCCCCGTCAGCCCCATGCTGATACAGAGTTAGCAGTGCGGGGGGCACACGGGCAGGAACAAGTTACGTGCTTTTAAGCCAGCTCCCCGTGTCTATTGGCTCCCTGGGAGTCATCTGCCCTCCCCCCATATAACTGCTGAAATTTTCAGTGGTTACATGGTTAATTAATTAAACACATTTTAACATCTCTAGCCCGTGAGCCACTTATTGCCCACCCTTGTACCAGAGCCTGCTGGTTTTTACCTATAGTCTTAAAAAGACTCAGGGCTCCTAGACATGCTCCACACCCCAAAATGGAGAATGATCCTGCACAGGGCTGACTGGAGACCAGCTGCTGATTCAAACCAGTTAGAACTGTCCCCACTATAGTGTCCACGACACTTTGGAATTAATGGGGCATTCACGAGTAGGGATGTAATAATTCATATCCACTCTTATTGGATCCTTTGGGTACCAAATACTTCGTTGTTCTACTCCTCAGATATGTGTGGAAATATTGGGCAACCTGTGGTCGTTATATGCCCATGGGAAAATATTAGTTGTGTAAAACATACTAATCCAGACCCAACATCGTTTATCATCAGACTGAGGGAAGAATTCCAAATGCCCCCTCCTCTTTTGGTGTCATTCTATCATAGCTCATAATGGAGGCCTTGTTCTAAGTACTGCAGTTTGAACAATGATTAATCAGTCAATCCACCAATCAGCAGATGGGATGTGGGCTATCCCTATTATTTCCTGGTTTGCAAGATCAAAATACCTTCATGGCTTCTGGATTCATGTACAATAAAGACCAGAGCTGTCATCCTCTAGTGCAATGTTTCTCAACCAGTGGTACGAGTATCCTTAGGGGCACTTGAGAAGTATAGGGGGTAAGTCAACACAACTGAAATTTGGAGAAAACTGAATTATTGTTTTAAATTTTACAGCACTTTATAATTTTTGTATTTTTTACACCCAAAAATTTCATTGCCCGCCCTGCTACGATTAAGTTGTTTAAACAAATATGTTGCAATGGTAGAAAAAAATGTTGTGTGTCTGAAAACTGTAGGTACTTATAATTTTGTTTTGAAAAAGGGGTACTTATGTTATTTTGTGTGTTGTAAATGGGGTACTTTATAAGAAAAGATTGAGAAACATTGCTCTCGGGCACTCTGACTCCTGCCACCTATCAGTTTTGAATGGATGTGTTCAAGGGGGATTTTTTGTTGTTTTTACAAAAAATCAAACTGGGCTTTACTAGAGATGTTAAATTTAGTTTTAATCAACTAGTCGATGGAATTTCCATCGATTAGTGGATAAGCACGGGAGCTGCAGCGGGGTTAGTTTCCAGCCCCAGGAGCTAACCCCGCTGTGGTTCTGCCTTTTAAATGTATTAAGAGCCAGCAGGCTCTTAATACATTTAAAAAGCAGAAACACAGCAGCGGAGGAACCTGGTGTGAGTCGTGAATCATCTGTCTCGGCTCGCGCTGGGTCCCCCTCGCTGCGCACCAGCCGTTTAAATGTATTAAGAGCCAGCAGGCTCTTAATACATTTAAAAAGCAGAGGCACAGCGTCTGAGACTGGGCGAAAGCCAGGAATCAGTTGATTCTCAGCTCGCGCCTGGTCCCTGCTACCTCTCTCCTCTGCCTTCCCTGCCCCCTGCGGAGACAGTGCTGGGGGGAACTGGCTTTTAAGCCGTTTCCCCCCAGCACCAGCTTCTGCTCCCCCGCCCTTGCTGCCTCTGATAGTGGCAGCAAGACGGGGAGAAGCAACTAATCGAGGGACTAGTTGACTATCTGCTAAGCAATGCTTATCAGATAATCAACTAGTCACTTACGTCCATAGCTTTTACACTGGAGGGAATTGCAGGAGCAATTTGAGGAAGGAATATCTGTGCTTTTCTTGCAGATTTCCTTGCAATGGAATAGGGATGCCATAGTAAGAGTGGGAGCACCAAAGAAATCCGTTTGTGCTTTGAGAATGTTCCCTTCCTCCAGCTTCCAAGAGCCTGCAGTTGGGGGTTGGCATTTGTCAAAACTAAAGGCTTTAAGAAGATTGGAGCTTTTCAGAACCCCATTTGCCCAGCAGACGATGAATCTGCTGTACAGCATATTCTTAATTAAATGAAATTTTGAGAAAAGGCTCTGAATGGTGCCAAACCAGAGAATTTGCTGGACTATGGGAGGTCAGTATTATCGAGCAGCATTTCCAACGCTTCTACTGCTTACTGGGCTCTTAGAAGATATTTAGGGCTAAATTGGAGCTAAATAATAGCCCAGAACACTGAGCGCCGGGACTGGTGGCTGCAAACAAACTTTATGGGAGTGCGGGAAACTTGGGCTATGTTTAGACTGTAGGCTTCTTTCGGAAGAGATCTTCTGGAAAAACTTCTTCCGAAAGAGAGTGTCCACACAGCCAAAGTGCATCGAAAAAGCGATCTGCTTTTTTGAAAGATAGCGCCCATTCAGTGTGGACTCTATCTCACATTTCAGCTGTGATTACTATGGATGGAGTGGCCACCAGAGCACTGTGCTTTTTCCTCTTCCCTCTTCTTCCGAAGTAATTCCCTCTTCCCCGTCCACACATGTCTTTTTCCAAAAGAACTCTTTCGGAAAAAGGCTTCTTCCTCATAGGTTACCAATGTCGGAAAACCCCCTCTGTTCTTTCAATTTTTTTTGGAAGAATGCAATTGCAGTATGGCTGTAATTGAAGTTTTTTTTTTGGAAAAACGGCCATTTTTCCGAAAAAAACTCTGTAGCATAGACATATCCTGGGTCACATCCATGATAAGTGGACATCCAGCTCACTAAAATCATGCCAGACCATGGATGATGCTAGACCAGAGAATGGCCTAGGGAGGTTCAGTCTGTAGTTTTCATGAACATCATGAGTTTTCCATTTAACTCTAAAACAGGTGAAGACTTCTAGCTTAAAATAAAGAAAGACCTGTGTTGTTTGTCCTGGACATAGTATGCTGACTTCTAACCTAGAAAGGCCTGTGTAGAGGCCATGTATTATTATTATTTATTATTAATACATTTAATTTTATTAGCTTCTGGATATCAGTTCACAAAGTAATGATGGCTCTGGACTGTAATAGGAAGGCTAGACTTGAGGTACATCATCAGAGCCATTTAGGGGAAGCTTGCTCTACACAACATCTGATGCGCTCTATAAAGCATTTTCAGTCGCTCACTTTCATAGGCACCGAAATGTCAATTTTAAGACAATTAAGAAAAAAGCCTTGAGAAAATTAACGGACTTAATGCTATTTAAATATTACTTTGACTGCAGATACGGACTCAGAGGAAGATGATGAATCCCTGAAGGACGAGTGGCCTTTACAGTCTCCCTCCAGCTCCAAAGCGAGAGCACCCAGTCTCTACAGCGTAGGAGCCAAAAAGAGCAGCAAGCAAGGTGGAGGTCTCAAGTCAGCCAAGAGGGGCGTGCCTGCCACTAGAACTCTGAAATCTAAACAGGCCGCAAGCAGCAAGCCGCAGTTTTGCTTGCTGCTTCGGGAGGCTGGATCTTCATTCAGTGACTCTTCGGAGGACTCGTTCGATCAAGGTTACTAGATTATAACAAACACAAAACAAAAACAACACTTATCTTCCATGTTTGTAGAGTGAGAGAGTGAGTGTGTGTGAGAGAGAGAGATGGCAACACTTGAGGTCAGCCATTTTTGCTGGTCAAAGTAGGGGCGGCCATCTTTGTTCTTGGCAGCGTAGGCTGCTTTATCAATATCATTTTTTTATATATTTGTATCATTGTGATATTATTATTGGCTGGCTCTTTTAGAGCTTTTATACTGACTGGATTTTAGGCTTCACCTTTCCCCTAGCTTTCCTCTTACCCTTCTTCCCTTCCCTCCCTCCCCCTCCTATTCCTTGATGCCACAGCCACTACCATTTATATTATTTTTTTAAAAAATTATATTTTATTTGGCCTGGGCCTTGTAGAGGTTTGGAAAGAGCAGTTTGGTTTGGTTTATAATGGGATTCTGTTGTGTGGGTGTGTGATGTGATGTTTGTACTGCGATTTGGTATACCAAGTTTTATTAAACATATCGAGTTCATTTTTAACTAAACCTGTGTACCTTGTCTCTCTTGCTGTGTCTCTTATTAGGCGATTTAGGATGCCGCTTCCACTTCATCCCGCTCTGCCTACCCCTTTCCCCCACTCCCACCCAGTAGAACTGGAATTAACATAGTATTGGGCGTTCTCTATTATTCAAATATCCCTATTTGCATTGGCACTTGCTACATTTTCCAGGATGAAACAAACATACTTGTTCTGTCCTCTTCCCTGCTTGTAATTTCATTTGTATTTTGCATAGGTTGTTCATTTTATTTTTTTCCTAATAGTCTTTTGAGACAGGCACTAAAGTATAAATTATTTATTGATATTTATCTTTCTGCTTCAGAAGGGTGGCTTAATATATGGTCGACAATATTTAGAAGCCAAAGTTTTTTTTATCTTTTATTTAAATTGTTTGCATCATCTACTTTAACCCACAAATGTTCAAGGATGTGAAAATTAGTGAATTGAATTTGTTTTTGCTGGGGAAAAATTCTCTTCCCCACCCCAGCTCCCAAAATATTTGGCTTATTGTCTGCCAGTTGTTAGCTCTTATGTAGGAAAGGAGGTCACACAAAACTTTTCCTCAAGAGACACAAGGTGGTTTCTCTTGTAGAGAGCACACTCATCAAATAATAGTCATGTGGGAGAAAAGTCAGAGTGTCCTGGAATTTTGGGGCTCAAAATCGCAAAGAAATTAAATAATCTGGACTGTTGAGTAAGGGTAATGGAGTTCCCCGTTGTTCACAGCAAAGTATTAGGTTAACAAAACATTATAAATTTGCACATAGTGTAGCGAAAATCTTTGTAACTGTTACGGTCTACGTCAGAGAGCTTCTGATTTGTTAGAGGTTTTTGATGGAAGCTTTTGATCTGATTTATCTTAACTTCTCCTCTCTTCTCTCCCCCAGACCCACCCTCCCAACAAAAACAAGTTACCCATTTTTAAGAATCAGAACACAGCATAAAAGCTAGAGAGAGTGTTAATTGAGTTCTGAAATCACCTTGCGGATGAATTTAAGAAAAAAAACCCATAAGAAACAACGTATGTTTCAGAAAAGAGATGTTTTATTCCTTAGAAAACCTGAAATGATTGGTGGATTGCCTTTAAGGGCACGGGCTCTGCATTTTCCTTGAAGAATTGGATTTAGCTTCCATTCTGTTTTACCTCCTTTCCCTCCCTCACCTGCTTCTTCATTATTTATTTATTTGCTGCTGCTGCTGCTGCTGCTACTGCTACTGCTGTTGGAAATTTTGAGGATATCAATCCCTTTTAGATGCCAAGTTCTTCAGGTTTATCTATTTAACTTGTTCCAGAAAAAGCAGATAGATAACTTGACCAGAGTCTTAAGAACCCAAACTGGCTGTGGGAATATTTCAAGCAACTATTTAAGATCCTGATTTCAGAGAGGACAGGGAAATCTGGAATAAGGGTGGGGAAGAAATGCATGTAATTAAAGAAAATTCTCTGATGTAATTTAGTGGCTGGTGAGACAAAATGCAAACCATTGTGGAGGGGAAGGGAAGTTTGGTGGGGAAGGGAGGAGGGATTATTGATTGTGAGTTTCCTGCAAACGAACTTTTCTCCAAAGTATTTATTTAAGGGATATTTGGGTAATAGGGTTTCTAATGGCTTTCCCTGATACTAAAACGATTAATAACCTCAGCTTTTCTGGAAGTGCTCGCTTTCTTCTTGCAGCTGCTTGGCCAATCCCTTCACCCCTGACCCCTATCCATGATGCTTTGAATGTCTGTATCGGTCTCTTGCATTTGCTCTCACGCTGCACTAAAGAAGCAAAGTGATTGGCTGGGAGTAGGGCAGACACTGCTCAGCGAGGGGTCACTAACCATGAACCTGAACCTTGAACATTGTTATGTAGGTAGGCAAAATACCTTTTCTTTATGTCATCTGTAAACCTGAGACGTTTCACTGTTAAACCCCATTAATAACAACACTTAGAACATTTGCATTTTCTGGGTGATTTTAGTTTGAAGATGGTCAATGTTCACTTTGATTTCTCTGTCGTGAAGAATCTTGAAAGGAAGCCTTGCTTGAGTGTGTATGTGTGCTGAGGACTCCAGAAAAAGCCCCACCGTTGTAAAACTTCCTTATGGGAAATTTCCTGCTCCCAAGAAAAGGGAAGGACTTGGCAGGCCGTACCCAATATAGGAAGCTATACCACCTCCTGTAATGGTACTGCCTTTGTCCTGGGGCCATGATCCACTGATGCATTACCAGAACCAATGATATCAATTTCTTAGACTCAACTTCAGAGGCAGGGTAATTGAATCCCACTGGTTTATTATGGGATAAACATCTCCAGCTGGGGTGTGTGTGGGAGGAGAATAAGGAGTAGGAAAGGGGGTGATTTAAAAAAAAAAACATCATAGTGATTGGGGAAATGTGGATCTTTTGTTCTGGAAAGTTCATATTATTTACTTTTTTTCTGGCTTTCAAGGTTGTTACCTGGTTGTAGAAAGTTGACCACAGAAAACCATGTTTTTTGTTTTGTTTTGTTTTCTTAATGGGGACATTTTTTTTTCTTGGAGAGTGAAGAGTGTCACTGTGTTCTGATGTGAGCAAATCTTGCATGGTGAGAAACCCATCATTTGGTAACAACAAACTTTGCAAGCTGTCAGAATGGTAATATTGTAAACTTAGACTCACATTTCTCCGACCCTTTGTGATCTTTTGTTTTCCTTATAAACAGATCATGCTTCTTTTTTCCCATTCTTCCCCCGATCTAGAGAAGTTTTATGCCATAATAAACCAGTTGGACTTAACCACAAGCCTCTGAAACAGATCCTAAGGAACTGGTATAATTTTTTTTTTGTGATACACCTCATTTCTGGAGTCAGCAGCAGAACACTGGGGAGGGAGAGGGGAAATCTTAAAAGAATGGGAGATTGTGTTTGAGAAACTATGTGTAATCTTATGAGGGGAAAATTTTAAAAACAATGTCCAGAACTGGACAGATCATTCCAGTCTGGATGTGAAGGACCCATCAGCTGTCTAAAGTCTGCCTACACTTAGCCTGCTTTGTGCGCTGTAGGCCTGCTTGGCATTATGACAATACCATGCTGGTTTTTTTTCAGTATGAAATAAATTTTTGTGTGTTTTTACTCTCCTTTCTCCTCTACTCATCCTCTCTACCCTTTTCCAAATCTATCCTGTCTCATCAGTCTCTGCAAACTAAATAACATGCCAGTTTCTGTCCATCATTAACAAAACCTACTCACTTATTACTGTTCTCCTAACAACAAGAAGCTAGGCTAATATAAATAATAAATATTAACAAAACCTCACACCAGCTCAGTCACTTTGAAAGACTAAAGAACAAAGAGAGAAGATAGTTCAGTTTTTCTCTCTTTTTTTTCTTTAATTTGGACACACACATTGAAATTTTGTCCAAAAGGTATTTGGTGGTTCTATTTTATTTGCCGTTGATAGCATTGAGAAACAAGTGAGTGTGTGTTTGTGTGCGTGTGCACGTGCCTATATAGTGTATATGCATCGGTATGTGTGTATATATGTATACTTGAAAGTTGCAGGTAAAATTTTGAGTCTTGGGTACATTCCTCTCTTTACTTCACAAAGTCTTGGTTGGTTAATGATGTGTGAGAAAAAGTATAATGTGTTGGCATTTTTTTTTCTATATTTGACCAGAGATCAACTTTTTTTTCTCCTGAATATGTTACGTCCCTGATCCTGAAACAACTTATGTACTTGCTTTATTTTAAGTAGTCCCATTAATTTCAGTGGTAACACCTGCATGTGTGAGAGCAATTATCAGTGTTTAATTATAAAGTAGCCTTTGTTTTTGGCTTTGAAGTGTTGGAGTTCAGCGAGAAGTTTAAAAATACTTTTAATTGTTTCTTGTCCATGAAAAAGTGAAGGGGGAAGGAGTACACGGTTGTGAGAAGAGGGAAGGCTATTTAATGCAGAAATAAATGGTATGAGAGGTGGGAATAGGAAAAATGATCAGTTTTTAGTGGCTTTTATATCTGCTTTACCTTAGTGCATTTGAAATGCTGTAGCCGTTTAAGACATCTTACGGACTCGCATATGCTAAATGAATCGTTGGGCTCGTTGACGAGGAACTTGAGCACTAAATGAGAAGCATTCCCTTAGTCCAGCTGAACTACTCATTTCTTTTTATGATTTCATGTTGGTGGCAGGCTTCCTTCCTTCCCTCCTCATCCACCAGATCTGAACAGCAGACCCCAGAGAGCTCCTAGCCATCAATCTGGCTGGATGCTGTTTGTCTGGGTGTGGTTGTTTGGCTTCCCATTTGAAGTATAGAGGCTGAGCTAAAAGGATAGTAGTATGATGGTTGCCATCTTGGCCTGGAGACTGAAGTGAGGGCCTACAGATACTATGAGCTGCTGAAGTTTAAGCAAGTATCAGAGGGGTAGCCGTGTTAGTCTGGATCTGCAAAAGCGACAAGGAGTCCTGTAGCACCTTATAGACTAACAGATGTTTTGGAGCATAAGCTTTCGTAGGCAAAGACCATCTGACGAAGTGGGTCTTTGCCCATGAAAGCTTATGCTCCAATACATCTGTTAGTCTATAAGGTGCTACAGGACTCCTTGTCGCTTTTGAAGTTTGATCAGGAGCTCTTAAGCTGTGTACCAGATTCATATCCATCACAGAGGGCACCTCTGAGGTATGCTTGCCAGCTGGTGTTGGCTGCTTCCTGTCCAGTGCTGAAATATTCTCTGCCACTCCTGCCAGAAAGAGTTGTTAGAGCCAAGACTCTGAAACAGGTAGCGTGAATGATCCACCCTAACCTCTTAGCCAAGGAGTGTGTAAACAGAACAGGTGCAGTCCCAGTAACCAAGCTACTGTGCAGTTCACCTGGAAATGGGCTCTTTATCAGACAGGGCAGATTTTTGGGGATAGGTAATGAGAGAGATTTCTCCATTTTTCCAAACCCCTTGGGCTAGTAACTCTTCCCCAGCTCGAT